TTACGTGTGATTGAGATTATTGATTGTTAAAGCAGCGTGAGCATTGGGCGCTAGGGCAACCATACTCGAGAATTGAAAGAAAACTAAAGGTGAAGAAGAAACATTATAGTTTAGCCCCTAAACTTTCTCCTCCAATAAAAGTTCATAGCTATATTACAACCACAAAGGAGAGAAATTATGAGCATATACCAATGTGACTCCAAATCAACGCCTACCAGAGGTTGTCCACACTAGTACAACTTTCATATAGTCAGCCGTTAGGCTAAAATTCCTTTGATATATTCATATCTAGTAATTTTTCTAAAACCAAACAGGAGGGAAAATAACATACGAACAAGGACATGAATATTATATTAAACTACTTTTTCAATATTTTCACGATGCCATTACATTTGTAGGCTAAATATATCATCACAGTGCAACCCAAGACTGAGTGTTATAATCGGGAGAGGTTAACCATGGTTACTAAGGGTAAATTGAGTATGAAACGATAAATTGTATTAATTAATTTTTTAATAAATTACATTTTTGATAGTTATAAAATTAAATCTATTAATTGCAATTCTCTCTCTTTCCTTATTTTCCCAATCTCCAGCCAGATCTTCTTTCCTTATTTTTCTAATCTTCTGCAAAAAAAACAAAAAAACAAGAAAGCACTATCAATCCATTAGGCAACAATAAATCAATACCAATCCATTAAAAAACACTACCATTACACAAAACACTTATACCATTCGAGAAATAACAACACTACCATTTCACAAAACACCAATACCATTGCAGATTTAATCAATACCCATGCGACAAAAACAATACCAATGCGGAAATATCAATACCAATGCGATAAAATCAATACCAATGCGGAAAAATCAATACCAGTGCGATACGGGGGATGTGTTTGTGCCATAATAGATCAGGAGACTAGAGAGTGGAAGGGACTAAACCAATACCATAATGAAAAATCAATACCAAACCAATACCATAATGAAATTGAACCAATACCGAATAAATAAATAAAAACAATACCATTATTGAGGAAACTACCATCTCCCCGCCGCCGCCTCTATTCCTCCCAATATCTTCTTCTTCTCCACTTTCTCTCAGCAACTGCACCCAAAACAATGTTCGGCCGATGATGCACAAACTCCTAAGATAGAAGAATTTCTCGTGGGATAGAGAGGGGGGAGTGATGGTGGGCGGCTTCACGAGAGATGGGATGGGCGGATGTTTTGCGCAGGGGAGGAGGAGAGGGCGATGGGTTCGCCGTCGCCGGGGAAGGGCGGGCGGGCATGTCTAGTTGAGGAGAGTGAGGGATTAGGGTTTGGCTATAATATGTAGAAATTAATTATTTAAAGGATAGAAATCTGGTGTGGTATATTTTTCGTTTTCAAAATTACCCTTAATCTAATCTTCACCGTCAATTTAATAATATGATGAAATAAGGATAATGAAGGGTATAGATGTTAGTAGCCACCATGATTACTTAAAATTGAGTAAGCACACTAACTCATCCCTGTTATAATCCAAGGTACTTGTAATCTAGTGACCGAGTGTTCTAGTCGAAACAACTCTGTGACTTAACAGTCTTATGGAATATTCCGAAGGGACGACAGAGCACTTTTATCAATGACTTTCTTCTACTATATTTTGTTTTGTTTGCAATTCAAAATAATTGCTAAGTATTTAAAACCCAATCGACAATAAACCCCCTCTTGTTTAGAAGAGAGCACAAGCACACGATGATATGGAATCATTCTCACACAAGTTGCCGAGGAAAACACACATATAGGCATCGATGAAGTTGAAGTTTGATGATTTCATAGATTTTGTATTGTTGGGAAGTGAATAACAGCGACAAAATTCCACCAACAAAATATGAATCCATAATAATAATATACTAGAAATGCCGTCCTTGAATTTTGGTTAACCAGAAACCGAGTGGAGAAATCAAAGAGCCAAAACTAGTAACAATCAACAGCATTATTATAATTACGTTTGGGTTTGGACCACTAATTAATTTCGTTAAGCAAGGTATCTACTCTCTCTCGAATCACTGATCTGTAAAATGAATGGATTCGTAAGGAATTGGGGACAAAGAGACGAAATGGAGTGGGAAATTGGGGGAAAAAAAAACAAACAAACAAACAAAAGAAAGAGTAACTGACTGAAACTGAACCCCCTCGTCTCCTCTCCTCTGTTGCTGCTGATTCCACAGCTTTGACCTCTCCTCTGTTTCTTTGTTCTACCGTTTCTTCTCTTTCCCTCTCGCCATTTCAAATCCGCACCAGCCAAAATCACGGGGAAATTCTTTGGTACGAGTTATTCTTTTGCCCAAACCAAGGTAAAACAATAGTAGATAATGTACGAGTTATTCATCGTTAGGTGAAATGATGAATGATTTAACATTTTGATTTTGGACTTCTCTTATATGTTAATTCTAACATATGAAAGTTACCAATCAAATTTTCAAATGTTATTTCTTATTTATACTAACAAACTGTCATTTCATTTCTTAACGGAACTACACACTGACCTTCGACTTTTAAAGGCGGATAATAGAGAATATTTTTATGCTACTACTATTGATCGCTATGCTCTGTAATGTCCACTGGATGTTGAGATGCAAATTATAAACTATTAATGTATTTAATTTGTATCTAACTCGCAAAAAAAAGTGAACTTTCTCTAAATAATTGGTTGATGAAGTAATGAAATATCTAATACAAGTACTAGACTACTAATGTATTCTAAACTCGTTAGTAAGCAACCTAACCGCACCCATCCGTCATCCACCCAACTCGACTCGAAGTAGTGTGTGGGTGGATTGCTAGTCACAATTGTACTGACTCGTTAGTAAGCAGGTTAGTCAGTCTAAGATCGAAAACCCATCCAATCCACTCATTGCCCACCCCTAATTTCGGGGATGAATTTTGCAAAAATGGAGAGAAAAAATATATAGAAAGTGAGTCTAGTCACTAGTGAGATTTGACCATAGACTCTCTTGAATGAAATTCTTCCAAAAACTGATAGGATCACATAATAAACAACTTTTGGAAACAACAAGGAAATTACTTATAGTGGTTTCACTTTTTCAGCTGTTATCAACTCTTGTTCCCGCAACAACATATGAAAACAAACCTACACATGTTGTCAGTAAAAACAAAAGGCTGAAAATGATATTAAACATCGCTTAAACTTTAACAACAAATATAAATTTTGCTACACATTATTTTCTTAATAACATATTATACATATTCATAAAAAAACATGTTATACATATAGTATTTACTCAAAACACGAAAACCTCGAGTACCAATCCACTTAGGGTTTGTTTGGATAGGAGGATTTGAATTTGATATTTGGAATTTCAATAATACATCTTTTGTTTCGCTATTAATTAGATACGGTATTTGGATTCGTACCAAATACATTAGTGAGTTTCAAATACATATCTAGTGTATTATTTGTGATTTTGAAATATGTATCAATAACTAGTGCTTTGAAATTCAACAGCAACATATCAGGCCTTCTTGTAAATTTTAAAAGTTCAGGTAACATAGCACAGAGTTAAAAATATAACGATACTAGAATGTAATTTTGCCACAAAAAACTATGCACTTATTTGCACAACAAAATAAGATGAGGTACTAATTTGTAACAAAATGAAAAAAATAGTATATGAAATAAACCAAATGATTATCCAAACAATGAATTTGAATTACATGTTTTGATTTCATAAAAAAATTACATGTTTTGAAAATACATGTAGTTTAATGAATTTATTTAAAATGTATGCATTTGAATCACAAGTATTTTAAATACATGTAATTAAATTAGGGGGAGTTCTATGGTACCCAGGGTAAAATCCGGGGTACCGCATACCTTGAGTAAGAAAACACTATCCAAAACTTGAATTGTCTGATCTTTCGGACATGATATTATACTCTAACCCTTAAAGATCAAAATCTAGGTCTTAATTCTCTAAATCTTATACCCCAAGATCAATTTAATTAGAAACAATAATCGACGGTTATGATTCGTCCAAATATAGGCAAAAAAATCAATGCACCATATGAGGGTTTATAGTTTATGATTTAGATAATTAGGACCTAGGGTTCGCTCATTAAGGGTTAGGATATAGTATCATGCCCAAAAATCCTGCTAATTCGAGATCTAGATAGCATTTTTATACTCAAGGTATCCGGTACCCCGAATTTCACCCGGAATACCGTAGAAGACACCTTAAATTAGATATATTCAAAGTCCAAACACATAAAAAAAAACTAGTATAATTTCGGAGGAAAAAAGATTAACTAGTTTAAGCTAATTTTCTTGGTAAGTAAGTACTAAGTAGCCTCCCACTACATCCCTAATTGAACGGGGAAAGGAAACTAACATCCTCCATCTCCATGCCTCTAAAACAAACTAAAAAAATGGAGGAAAGGGAACAAAATTATGCCCAAATTAGCACTTGGAATTCGACGGGACTAAAGAATTGGAATCTGGATTTTGTTGCACTCCATGCTGTTTTATTTCCCCCCTCCAAAACCGTATAATACCCACCTTGCGGATCACTCACTCCCTTGCAAGTCACAACTTAACAATTTATGTACTTATATAGGTATTTTATTTTAAGACTCAAACGTAACAGAAACAGTAAAAAAAAGCCCTTCAAAAATAAATTTACAGAGGAAAATTAACTCCGCCCTCAGAACACCTGATTTTACAATTGAGAAAATCCGTTACAACAACAAACAAGAAAGAAAGAAACGGTAAACACGCCACACCTGAGTCAATCGCGTTTATGCTGGTTTTGTTGGTATCAGGGCTAAAATACTTTAACCCTTTCAATAACAAAAGTTAGTTACCCCTTTTTACTATCAACGACTTTAACCGCTCATATCTCCTTCCTAATCTTCTTAGAAAATTACACCATTTTCTATAAAACAGATATAAATAACAGAAAGAAATGAGTCGAGACTCAATTTTTTTATGAGTAAGTCTACTTTAACTTCTTTCATACACAATCTCAATATCTTAATCTCTTATCATCCTAGCTTGAAAACTAATTGCTCTCTAATCTGCCATAGAGTTTGCTTCCAAATTGTTCTCCAGATAAAAAACCAAGAAGAAAACTAAAAAAAAACCTGAAAGAAAAATCATTTACCAACTTATAAATCCGAATTCTTTTTCCTAATTAAACTGACAGAGTTTATGAGGGTTTGTAAAAAACGGATACCTCGTAATTAATATTTTGAAAAAAATATAATGAACAAATGCACGATGAAGGACGAAGAGGCGGATCTGGGTCAACCGGCTTTGACCGTCGAAACGACAGTACAGAAGGTTGGAAGCGTAATTTAGCAGCACTGCCAGGCGGCCCCACCTCACTCTTACAGTTACAGAGATAGGTAACTTAATAAATTATTAATATCTTTTTTCCTTATTTTATTTTCTGGGTTTTTGTGTTTGTTTAATGGGAGAATTGCTGTTCTCTCTCTCTCACTATATTTCTTGCTTTTGGCTTTTGCTCCCTTTTATATAAAGCCCGCACTCGCCCTTTTTCTCCTTCGTCTTCCCTCTCGCCCAAGGAGAGAAATCAAAGGATTTCGAAAAAAAGAAAATAACGCTGAAACGGTTCGCCGGAACGCTGCCGGAGGAACCAGAAAGAGGAAGGAATCGAAGATTCCGTGATTTCAGTCTGTTAGGAGAATGAGGACGAGAAGAGGCGTTTGTTACCCGAGGATGGACTTTTGTGGGGTGGACAAGAGAGCTGTGAAAAGAGCGAAACGCGATTTCGCAGCCTCCACCGCCTCCGCCGAGAGTCTTGCCGGAAAGAGGCAGAGACTATCGCCGGAGACGGAATACGGAAACGACGGCGGCGATATGTTCGACGGTTTGCCCGACGATCTTGTTCTCTCAATCCTCGCCAAGCTTAGCTCATCCGCTTCATCGCCGTCGGATTTCATCAACGTCTTGATAACGTATGGCCTCTCTTCTCCGCTCCGGCTCCGGCCTTTTCTCCTTTTTCCCCGCCGGAGATTCGTTTATTTTCCCCCTTCTGATTTCTGAGCGATTTTTTTCCTCTGGATTTGTTTTTCCAGATGCAAGAGATTTAACGGTTTAGCCCTTAATCCGCAAGTTCTGGCGAAGGCTTCTCAGAAGACCTTCGCCATTAAGGCGAAGAACTGGTCGGAATCCGGTCACCGGTTTTTGAAGCTCTGCGCTGACGCCGGGAATGTTGAAGCTTGTTATACTCTGGGCATGGTAAGAAAAATTGAATTTCTCTTCTTCTCGTTTTTATTAATATATTTGAAAATAAATTTTATATTTATTGCTCTCGAGATTTTGATGAACTCGCTTCTCTAACAAATCTCTTTTTGGCGTAACAGATTCGGTTCTACTGTCTGCAAAATCGCGGCAGCGGCGCGTCGCTGATGGCCAAGGCGGCAATCAGTTCTCACGCGCCGTCACTGTACTCTCTCGCAGTCATCCAGTTCAACGGCAGCGGCGGTTCAAAGAGCGACAAGGACCTGCGAGCCGGAGTAGCTCTGTGCGCACGCGCCGCCTTCCTCGGCCACATCGACGCCTTGCGCGAGCTCGGCCACTGCCTGCAAGATGGCTACGGCGTCCGCCAGAACATCGCCGAAGGACGGCGGTTCTTGGTACAGGCCAACGCGAGGGAGCTCGCGGCGGAGCTTTCCAACCCGAACAATGGGCTCGCCACGCGCGCATGGCTCACGTGGAACCCCCACGCGCATCCCAACAACCACCACCGCGGAAGCGCAACCGCTGCCGTTGCCGCTGGCGGCGGTCCAGGGTGTCCGCTGCTGAGCGACTTCGGATGTAACGTCCCGGCGCCGGAGGTTCACCCGGCCAGCATGTTCATGGCGGAGTGGTTCGCTGCAAAAGGCGGGGCGCCCGGTTCGGGGCTCCGGCTTTGTTCTCACTTCGGATGCGGGCGGCCGGAGACACGTAAGCACGAGTTCCGGCGGTGCTCGGTCTGCGGGACGGTGAATTATTGCTCCAGAGCTTGCCAGGCTTTGGATTGGAAGCTGAGGCATAAGGCGGAGTGCGCCCCGGTGGAGCGGTGGGTGGAGGAGGACGGCGAAGGGATGGACGTCGACGGCGGCGGCGGCGGCGGAGATGGTAACGGTGACGGAATGGGGGATAGTTAGCCGGCTAGGAGTGTTAAAAAACGGGATGGAGAGGCTAACGGAAGGTGACGGCAGGTGAAGTTTTTCTTTCTTTTTTGTGGCCTTGTCGGGGACGGTAGTAAGTAAACGGCGGGGAAGAAGGAGATAAAGTAGATGATGAGGCCATTCCTTAGTTGGAAAATATTAAGGAAAGTTTTTTAAAAAAAAAAGGAAAAAGAGAGAAAGGTTAGAAAGACAAAAAAGTCCTTTGTAATTGTCGTAGAAGGGCAAAGTTGTTTGTTCCTCTTCGTTTGTATAGAGGGGTATATCGGAGAAAACGAGAGGAATTCTTTTTTCCAGTTTTCTCTCTTGCGGTAATTTCTTCCCTTCCAATTTCTACAATTCTACTCCCCTTCCGTTTCTTTTTTTACCTCTCCACGGAGTACAATAGAGTCAACACTCCCGCCCTAGGTCTGTGACCTCTTCAGATTAGGAGTAAAAAAATTGAACACTCGAAAACCAATCTATGGAAACCCGAAAATAAACATTTTCTAATATTCACATTTTCATTTGATTTCCTCTCACATAGTGGTAATGTTAATGATAGAAGAAGATTGGACCCGACTACAAACCCTAACGATTCAGGCGATCATCGGTTCAAATGCTTTGATTTTGAGTTGCGTTCATAGTATAACTATTCTACTGTCTACATTGACAATTTGAGAGCAACCTGACATTGTCGCGTATGAATAGTAAATATGTACGATGAGGTCTGATCCGGTATCACGAATCGAAATGATCTTATTATCGAGTTACGGTGATGATTAAAAAGTGAGATTAATGTGGGTGATTAAGGAGGGGATGGTGGGTAATTGGAGTGTGAAGGAAATGCCAAAAGTAGGTGTAGGGGGGAATGGGATGAACAACCAAACTCCCCCCAACACACACCCCTCACATGCAGAAAACACAAACACTCATCAAAGTTTATTAGTTTGGTTATTTTCAATCTAAATTGGCTTAGCTTTGGGGTAAAGATAGGTAAACAAAGAAACAAAGCCCTACAGCAATTATATATAGTTTGATGTTCAAGAAAAGTCAAATCCTTTGGGAGCATGGAGTTATGGATGGGCAGTCGTTTTGGCTTTTTATTTGGAGGAGGCCAAACCAACAAAATTGCACAGCACACCATTAAAAAAAATACCAAAAAAAAAACAAAAATTATGAGAAAGAAAAGTAGTAGTAAAGTAAAACAGGAAGAATGATTTAGTTTGATTATTGTTGTTGGGTATTTTTCCCACACTGTTTATTTGGTCAGAAAAGAGAGGAAATGGGAACAAGTGATTCCGATTTCACATACAAAACAAACCCATCAATGGATTGACCAGGAACAGTAATAAAAAGAAGAGGGAAATGGGGAAGAAAGGAAGTAGTGGTGGGGAGAAGGGAAATTGTGAGGAAGAGAAGAAAATGGGGACAAGGGCAAGTGGTGGTGTGGTGGGGAGACGAAATGCAGTATGTTTTGGGCTAAGTGGTGGAGGAAGTGGTTTCTGTCCTTAGCTTTTGAAACCAGAAAACTCATATCAAATAATCAACATGGGTACAATTTGTTATATATTATTTTTCCAATGTAACTTAAAACCAAAACTTTTAAATGAATTATTGATAATCATTGATGGATCAAATCAAAAAACCAAATTAGCATTTTGTAATGTACTGGCATTAGCACTTTAAATCGATCAGACATAATTTATCCTGAGAATTGATGGCGCGTCCGTGTTTTTTATTTTATTTTCTATAGTATCGTTTTCTTTGTCTTATTTTATATTTGATTGTGCACTAGAGAAGGATTAATGAGATCAAGAACGAAAGCCGTACAATTGCAAATAAAGAATGTGAAAAAGGTTTGTAACTAAGGGGGAAATGTAACTATCATTTGTAGTAAATGAATAGTAACTAACTTGATAGGATTGGTGGGGGGAGGGAGAGCTTACAGGCATTTACACAAAATGATTCGATGGAGAAATGGACCATTTGAAGAAAAGAAACAAAAGGGAAACGAAAGAGAGAGCATCTAATAATGGCGAGGTAGTGTGCCCTTATTCCAGTTCATATATTCTTCTCTCCCCTTTCTTTATTTCACCCAAATACATCTCAACTATAAAATTTCATGTTGTTGAGTTAATTTATGTTACCCTTCGGTGTTTGTGAACTTATATCAAAGATCGTGGAGGGAGTGCGCGTATCATTACAGTGGCGGAGCTAGAAATGTGAATGAGGGGAGCTGATTTGAATCGTGATGATTGGAGAAGGAGGGTCGAGGCTTTACCGAATAATATAATTATTGACTTTGTACGATAATATCGATGATTTAAAATGGTGATAAAATTGTTAAAACACTACAATAAAAATCATTAATCTTTGTGGAACCTACTAACAATCTAACATGGTTGGAAAATACAAAATGATCTTTTAATAAGATGAATAATGTGTCTTAACCATTTGTGTGAAACATAATTATATAGTTTTTTATTTATTTGTTCACATGATAAATTTTTTACCATGAGGTGTACTTTCTTATCCATGCATGATTCCATATTTTTTGTTGTGATAATAGTAATATAATATTTTGTATTTGGTGTTGAAAGAAAGTTTAGTTTTCTATCAAAAAAGGAAAGAAAGATTAGATGGTTGGGGCTTGTGAAGGTGGGTGGTCCAGGCCCAGCCCATTTAATGGGATTAGTTGGGGGAGTTTCTTTCTTCTCAGTCCAGCTGTGGCTGAAAAGATATGTAACCAAGCCATATACCGAGCCAAGCCAATAAGCCTTTTTATTTGTTGCTAATATGCTAGTGCTCCTACTTAGAATTTATATGTTCTCATATGTTGTTCTTGATTTTCTAGGAGAGATTTGTTTGTTACATTTTCTATTTTCTATATCTTATCATTTATGTTATCACTTTTATTTCTCTACTTTTCTTTTATGTTGTCTATTAGTAAATTTTACATAATTATATTGATGACTTTATGATAAATTAATTTTTGTGATTAACCACTACGGTGTGGTTTGCAGTTACTAGGGGTGTCGGGTGGGCAATGGGCTGATTGGGTGGATTTTGGTCTAAAATTGACCCAGCCGCTTATTAGCAGGTTGGAATACATGTGACTTGCAATCCACCCACATACTTATGCGGGTTGGGTGGGTGACGGATGTGTGTTGTTAGGTCGCGGGTTAACCCGCAAAAGCAATTCTCCAACTAGCCATTAAGAAAATTGACTTACATTTATAATAAGTTCAAAGCAAGTTAGTAAGATTGTATCAACAATTTGTGATTTTGATACAATTAATAATTTATAGTTTATATCCCAATATTTAATGGTGACTCGCACGAAACTACACCACAAATTAATCCCGACTAGAGCCCAAGTTTTAAAACTCTAGCCGGGTGCAGAATATAGCAAGTATTTACATTGTCAACCCGGGTCGATCCATGTACCCCTACTTCAATCGCTTAGGTTGTTATCTAGCAAACAACATTAGAGTTTAGGTTTATTGGAACTACAAACTAACCAAGCAAAGAAAAGTAAATAAAGGAAAACTCCAACTAAGGGAGCTTCACCCAGGAGTTGCTTCCCCCTAACTAGCTACCATAACTCGTTGGATTGAATGAAGTTGTGTGGCATAGGTGGTTGTGAACCGCGGGGGTGAGAAACTAGTGATCAATTTGTCACGGAATCAATTCACTAGTGATCGATTTGTCACGGGATCGATCCACTCACCAAGTCTAGGGGAACCTCTAGGAGGAGCAACTAGTGATCCATTTGTCACAGGATGAATTAGCTAGAGATCGATTTATCACGAGATCGATCCTCTCCCTCAGTCTCTAGCGGTTGCCTATGTCTCTCCCTCATACCGGAGTTTGAGCGGCTTAATCACAACCAACCTAGATGCAAACTGGTAACCGCGAACCACAGAGGGATGCATATGTGGTCGGAGACCACAATCTCAATTGCTAAACCGAGGTAAGTATGAAAGGCGCGTCACTCGACCCTCTCGGTTAGACAATCGGTAGTTGACTTACTCCCTCACTCAACTCTAAGGTTGGACGGCTTAATCACGATTAACCGACTTGCTTAACTCAATATTGAGGGTTGCCCTAACTTAACCTAGTTTAGGTGGCTGAGAAAGCGGAAGGAAAACCAACTCGATCGAGTCTCCCTTGGAAGGGAGGTTTTCCTCTCTAAGCTAGGCTCAGGTGGCTAATTAGATTGCTAGCACCAACATGCACAAACCTAAGGGTGCTAAGCACAATTATGCACAACCCTTAGATTTCTAAGCATGATCATGCACAATCACCATGAAAACACCTCTAATACTCAAATTGATGCAAACCCACACTTAATCATTCAATTTAAACAAGTAATTACAAAGTATTAGTTAGGGATCTACAACACCCAAGAGAAAGGAGTGAGTTTCTAGAGAGAGAGAGAGAGGGATTACAAATTGAGATCAAGATCTTCTTCTTCTTCTAGGCTTGAATCGTCCACCCAAGCCTCCAATGATGCTCCAAGATCACTCTAACACACACACTCTCTCTCTCTCTCTCTCTCTCTCTCACTAGAACTCTCCTTTGGTGTTTAGGTTGAAACCCTAGATAAAGAAAGTGTTTCTTCTCCAAAAACTAGCTCTACTTTCTCTCTCCCCGCTGGTGTCTTCATATTTGCCCGAAAGTGACCTGTTCACGGACGCGTTGGCTAGTTCACGACCATGAACTCCTAAACGCGTCCGTGAACTCAGTGTCGTCCAAAACGCGCCGCTTCACTCGTCTGGGTTCACGATCGATGGCCCCATCGGTCTTAGAAGCCGTGAACTGCCTTGTCGTCAGTAACTTCACGAACCTCGGTGGACTGCTCGATGTTCACGGTTTGTGGTCCATCTTCACGGTCTTAGGAGACCGTGAACTGCCTTGTCCGGCCGTCAACTGCGGTTGTTTCCTGGGATGCCTTCACTTCACTACTTCAGACTTTTCTTCGGTTTTTGCGCTTTTTGACCTCCAAATATCCCAAAACTCGTCCTCGGCCCTTCCACACGTGCTAGGACCTGAAATGTATCAAAACAAGCACAACCTAGCGTGAAATATATCGAGGAACGATGAAATACTATGTTAAACGAATAAGAAATGAGGGGTAAAAGGTGTACATTGGAGCCCGAATCAAATGAATATGAACAATAATTTGCATACCAATATCTAATATCCAATATCCAATGGATATTGCACAACACAATAACCAATAATAGTAGTCAAAACTATTTTTTATTCTCCACCTTTTGAAGTATATGGTCAGACTGTAGTGCAATTCGAAAATACGATGAATATTCGATACTATAAGAAACAACATTTTTCATGTAAAAATAGGACGCAGGTCATACGGGTGACCCGCAATCCACCCACCATCCACCCACATAAGTGCGAGTTGGAGATTTAACAATCCGCAATCCACCCGCATCAATCACCCACTGTATACAGATCGAATTATTTACGGGTGGATCGATATCAATTAGCGGATTAACCACCCACGTGCCCACCCCTAGCAATTACTATATTTAGTAATTTGAGGTCATGATTAACTGCAAAAATGATGCCATTAACAACAACCGCACCGACTTAGGACTTAGGGAGTGACTTTCCAAACCTA